GGGGGACAGAAGTGAAGCAGTTAACTACCGCCCCGTATCGTTAACCACAATATGTTGTAAAGTCATGGAACACATAATCTACAAGCACATAATGGAACATCTTGAAGAACATCAAGTCTTATCCGACTTCCAACACGGATTCAGACATAACCGATCATGTGAAACCCAACTATGGGATAACATACAACACTTCACAATTGATTTCGGCATGGCTCACTCAGCGACACCAGAGAGTATGTCTAGATGGAGAAGTCAGTGAGAACAAACCAGTACGATCAAAAGTTTCACAGGGTACAGTATTGGGACCACTTTGTTTCCTAATATTAATCAACGATATGGGAGAAACAATCTCATCACAATCAACCCTACTTCTTTTTGCTGACAACTCGCTACTATATAGATCCATCAAGGGTAGTGAGGACAGTTAACAATTACAACAAGATCTGACAGAATTGACTAAATGGGCGGAGAGGTGGCAAATGACATTCCACCCAGCTAAATGCTACACACTGAGGGAAACAAGAAAGAAAAACCCAACAATAAAAGAGTATGAAATGATGGGACAACAAATATCCACAGTTCACCAATATCCATACCTCGGAGTCGAATTATCAGAAGATCTCTGTTGGGATCCACACATCAAGAAAGTTATCACAAAATCCAACCGAGTACTAGGATTCCTAAGACGCAACATCTGGAATTGTCCACAAGACATCAAAGCGCAGGCCTAAAAATTCACTCAGATCAGTACCTCCACAGATGCCTACAAATACAGCTATATACCACGCACCATCACCGACTGGAACAGCCTGCCTCTGGAATGCTTCAAGGAGCAACTTCGGATACTGCAGCTGTAAACAGAAACCACCTGTTTTTATCCAATTTTAATTGCACTTGTAAATACTGAGCACGCAGGTTGACGTTTGCACAGCAGTATCTGCGTTATGGATTTCCACTGCAGATCAATAGTATAGATGTAGATGTAAAGAACCAAATAGTTCTGAATAATTTATCTTAACTGCTAAGCTTATATTAGATTTTTTTAAAAATGTAAATCATCTTGTTTGATGCCGGTTTAAATAGGTTTGAATATTTTTTTTTCAAAAGATGCAAAACCTAAAAAATTTCATTACACTGTTATCTCATGTGATGTTCAAAAAAAAAATCAAACCGACTTCTTCTTTAAATTATTTATTTTGCAATTAAAAATGGTTTGATATATTTCGTGCTTTTTATTCCAAACTAAGAATGATCATAATCAGAGCAGTGTTTCTTGTTTTAAAATGAAGTCTCCGCTTTTAAGAAATATTTATTTTGTTTAAGAAATAATTCATGAAAGCCATAGATTTGTTGGAAATTTACACATGGCCTGGGCCGTGATATTCGAAACTTATCCTGAGCGTTAGCGAGGGATAAAGTTAACAAATATCACGGCCCAGGCCATGTGTAAATTTACAACAAATCTATGGCTTCCATGAATTATTTCGATTCTAATACGACAAATACGGTCATTAGAAAACAGAAGCGAGGGTGGGTATGCCGTGTGTGTGGCTGTTCTTTTTTACTCCCTGTTAGATAAAGCTAAAACATTCTAATAAATCTGTAGCTTGCATGAATTATTTCGTAAACAACCGCTAGAAAAAATGTGCTTAATTCTTTTAATTCTCAAACCCGACATTTGCAATTTTTAATTAACATGTTTTTCTCGTAAGCTACCGTCAAATCCAAAGTTGACATTTCGTAACTAAGGAGCCGCCATGTTAACTTGCTGAAATCAGTAAATATGCGAATAATGCAATAAAATAGAAAATAAAACAACACCTACCTCAAAAATCCATTTTAATGTAATATTATACGAATTTCGATGGTTCACGTAACTGAAAAACCTTCAGCTTTAGCGTTTTCATTTGTATGACGTCATGTTTTGAAATGACTTGAATGCGCCAAAAGCATTAATGGACTTTCGCGGAATTTTAGTTTATTTTGATTTTGTAGATTTCTCCGAGTTCTTGTGCATTAATTCCTTTTGTTATGCATCCGAATTAGTATAAAAGTCCTGTAGTCTTTTTTCAATTGCAATTCTTAAAACAATAAAATCGGCATAGCGTTTGTAAATAGGTTCCAATACATGTGGATTTACTAGGGAGGTATATTGTAACATCCATTATTATGTATATCTCTGAGTCTGCGCTAAGTATAGATATATCGAGAACTTTACCACGGTGTTGTTTACAAAGCGAAAGAAGCACGTCATATTAGAATATCTAATTTGTCACCGCTTACAACTGTCTGCCTCTGGTTTATTTTATACATTAACTTTTAAGTAACAGTAACTGTTCATTTCATTTTGTTTCATTTCTTTTCGTTTTGTTTCGTTTCGTTCCGCTTTTGTTCCGTTTCGCACTTTACATGTACCCCTCTTTTCGCCCGTTTTCTATTTTTGATATCTTAATCAAAAATTTAAAAATCAAACTTTCAAAAAGCGAAATAATCAAAACTGCACGTTAAATTTAGTACATTCAAAGTTTGATCAAATATCTAAACTATCAAATTTAAAAACGATATTTAGAATTTTAAAATTTTCATTATTTGGTTAAAATTTCAAAATTTCAAACATTTTCAAAAATTTGGAATTTAGATATTTTACAACGTTGATCAAAATTTCAAAAATCTAAAATTTGAAAACTTTTAAAACTTTTGAATTGATAAGTGTTACACGGACCATATAACACTGAATTAGTAAACATTAGATATCAAAAATACATTACAAATTGTATCAACAGGTCAAATTAACACGAAAGTACGATTTGAGATTACTCGCAGTTACTGAAAGCTAGTTTAAAGCCAAAAACAATTAATAATAAAAAATCATGCATCAGAGACTAAAATCAACAAAAACACATCCCAGAGATTTAGTGTTTTAACGTCATGGACAGTCAAAGAAGATATGACTTGTGCAATGCCAAAATAAAAGTACCGACAGTCAGTAGGATAGTTAGGAGTTAACCTGCTAATAAATATGTATAATGTAATATATAGATAGAGTAATCTCTATATAGGAAACGAACGTGGATGTGTATTTATACATCCCAAAAAAAACCGTTTGAAAAGAATACAAATTTAGTTATGTTTTAATCTGCTGATGACAAAAACGATATTTGTGCCAATGTAAACTATATTCAAAGATCTAATTACAACATTGGTAAGATAACCTTTAATAATAAGTTTGTTTAAAGGTTCGAGATGAGTTTACACGGATCACATAGTGATTTTCGCGCTTTTAGTACAAGATTACCGTAAAATTTAGGATGTGAAATACTGTTTTTAATAAGTTTTCTACAGGTACAGCCAAATCTTTGTATCTATGAAAGAATTTAGTAAAAGTTTAAAGCAATTTATGGTTGACGATAAAAATCTTGCCATGACAACCAAAAATATCGTCAAGCAAGAAATTCATTTAGCATTGAGCGGAATATAATTGCTTATGATACACGTGTATGTAGTTCTGTCAATCGTAATAATAATACAGGGCATGTTTGAAATCTTTTATGAGAATATTTAGCTTCAAACTACTGCAATAGGCACCAATCTTTATTTTTCTGTTAATGACTGCCTATTGATTAATAGATTATTTTTTAACAACAAACGTTAATTCTTGTATGGTGATATGCATTGTATTACTTAAATTGGAGTGCTACGTCGTTCGGGTTATACTGTAGTTAATTGATAAATATGACGATTATGTCAGCGGGAATAATAGGTATTCTATTTTGGTCCAAAAAGCAATTTTAAAGCAACAAATGCATTTACCAACAGGCTACCTTTGTTCCTTTTATCTCCTTTATTTGGACAAATTTCAAGTACTTGCTTTTTGTGTCCACAAAATTACAAGCGCTATAATTAATTTTAGTATCATTTTAGAAATGCAAAATTGAATACATATTGAGTAAAATCCAATGGTGATATCAACATGAAAAGATAAAAATAAACAAATCTATTTGTCATATTTTGCATTATTGCGTTAGAAGGATGCATTGACGTTTAAAAGAATTTCAATTGATGAACTACCAGGTATTCTTTTACCATTCTGAAAAAAGTATTTTGATACGTCTTAAGTGTGGATTAATGTTCTATCAAATTTCTTAAAAAAAATGAATACAATTAAAATTATCTTTATTAGCGGAAGCTTCCTGTGGGTCCTTAAAAGTTATTTAATTAAACATTAGGTAAACAACATAATATAAAAGTATACTGCATGCACAAAATAAATCATCATTAGTATTTGTATGAGTATTAGCAAAGACTTAGAACCTACTCGTTTAAAAGAAATTAGAATACTATCTTTAAACGGTTTCATCGTATCGTAATCTTTTTAATCTGAGGGCAAATTATTCCATATTTTTACATCACACCACTTTTAAGTTTTCTTAATATAATAGGTCTTTGGTTTTGGCAGGTGTAGTTTTATTGTTAATGAAACATAAACAAATAGACTATAAGCCCGACTCCGTGTGCAGGATTTTCTAGCTGTGCTGAAGGCCCATTGGTGGCATTCAGCTGTTTTCTGCTTTTTGGTCGGGTTGTTGTCTCTTTGACACATTCCCCATTTCCATTCTCAATTTTATAGTAAATAGCTGTTTAGATCAGCATCATTTGGACTTTGGTGGATAATTGTCTCATTGGCAACCATACCAAATTCCCTTATTGTCATGAGACAAAACAAATATCTTATTCAATGGGATAATAATGCAGACTCCATTGTTCATTTAAACGATGGCTTATACAGAAACTTATAGAAAGTACAAAGCACTTCATAAGTGTAAATCAAAGAGTTTTTTTTGTGTACATGGATTTTTATTTTGACATTGTAGGTTAAACTTATCAACATGATTCAAAGATTGTACAACAGGACAGGGTGACATGTAACTATACATAATTAAGAATATAAGAACATTTGTCATGGAAAGAGTTTCAAATATGTGTATTTTTAACTGTTATAGGTATGTTTGGCATTGACGATAAACTGCACATCAAGAATGTAATGTTGAGACACCATGGAACAACCTTTAGGATAAATGTTTCTATGAATTTTCACAAATTTAATGAATCCTTCATGTACTGTTCCAAATGTAAGTACAATTTAGCGTTCCTTATTCGTAGACTTTACAATGAAGTAAAATGCATCATGCAGATAAAATTGGAAGTTTTGTTAATGATAAGGACATTTTTAAGAATGCAAACGGAAATTTAAAGCTACATTAACGGTACCAATTTTACTGCACCAGATTCACATTTCGACAAGTAATGTCTATTCAGTGATGCGCGATGCCAAAATGCCTTTATTGTTTTAAATTGAAATGAATGCATTAATGCTTGCATTTACCCCTTAAAAAACACACGAATTATCTAAGAAGCTCGATCGTGTTTACTTAACAGCTAATGTTAATTTTCATACCACAACGGATGACATGACGGAATTGAACATAAACCCCAGCAAAAAAAAAAAAAAAAAAAAAAAAAGTAAAAAGAAGAAAAAACCCTAAATAACCAAACTGACAATTCAAGACAATATGTGTTAGGAAAAAGTTGTATGCTTTATACAAGGGAACAATTCTGACCGGTGATTTAAGTTTATATTTCATGAAGATTCCGTAGAATATTTACAATCAGGGTTTGAAGCCACCAACTCTTAGATCTCTTAATGTAGAAGCCCTGCGATCCATTTATGCATCTAATGTCAGTGTTTACTATTATATTTCAGTGAGTGAATTTAAAATGTCTACCTTAGATTCTGTTTGTTTACCGTCATCCATAAAATGTACATTGTTAGATACTTTTGATGAATTTGCAATTGGGTCCATGATTTGTGGAACACAAAAACATTACGCTTCGCATGTTATTACCCAAAATATGGAAACTACACAGTTTAAAGAATCTGATATTTTACTTCAATTCATCAAGATTGTACATTGGAGAAATTTGGTGCTTTTCTATCAGAATAAAACCGGTGAGTAAAAACACTGTAAACGATAGAATGATATTTGTGGTGTTATAATTACACAGATAACTAAATCGATCGGTATATTACAATGGATTCTTAAAGTTTGACTAGCTGACTGTTGTTATTGTTACCGTTAATACAATATGTTCCGGTATCCTATATAACATTCAAGTAATTATAACAGTCAGACTACACCTGGCGACTTTGTTTTTAATAAAATTGCACTGACCGTATTTTTGATTTGGAACAGTTTTACACGAGTTATAGTAAAAAAGAAAAGCATTCATTGTCTCAAAACATTAAATTTATTTGTATTCGTCTCAAAACATGTTACAATTGTTCGGAAAAGCATAGCATTTTATCTGTTTCTCAGCCTTGCATAATTTTGTTTTTTTTAAATAATATATGGTTAGTCTATATATGAACATTTATGGTCTTATATCCTAGCGATACATATATTTTGGCAGTGCGCAAGGCAATTCTTTTCTCCGATTTTGAATGACGTTTTTAGACTAAAATCCGTTGAATGTCATTGTGTACTGATTGCTCTAGACATTGATATTTTAGTCTACGAAAATATGGAAGGCTTTAAATGAGTTGAGCAATATATTTGCTGCAACTCATTTAAAGCCTTCTTCTCTAATGAGAAAGCTAAATATGCTAGATATACTTATTGGAGGTGTGATAAGATGATTGAAGCTGTTAATGTTCTCCTTGATAACATTTATGTACGTTTCGCCAATGGGGTGTATCGACAGGTTGTAGGTATTCCTATAAGCACCAATTGCTCCCCTTTAATAGCAGACTTATTCTTGTATTGTCACAGTTTATGCCCAAACTCAGTAAAGACCCGTCTAAATTGTATTTAATTGATAAATTCAACAACACTTATCGTTATCTTGATGAAATTTTTTCGTTGAATAATCAAGAATTTTCTAAATATACAGCCGAAATTCACCGAAAGGAACTTACTTTGAATACATCAAATTAACCGGTAATAATTGTCCTTTCCTATGCCCGTGTCTGTTGTGACGTTTTCGATATCAATGATTGTAAACTATGTATTACTGGTAAATTATTAAGTCAGGGATTTCGTTACCAGAAATTACTTAAAACCTTTACTAAATTCTGCCATAGATACAAAGATTTGGTTTGTAAGTTTGGCTGTTCTTATGTTGTACTGGTACACAACTGTCCCAGGTTAGGGGAATGATTTGGGGCCAACAAAAAAGTTTTAACCTCGCCACATTCTGTATGTGCCTGTCCCAAGTCAGGAGCCTAAAAAAAGTAAAATAACAAAAATACCGAACTCCAAGGAAAATACACAACGGAAAGTAATTGATCAAATGGCAAAATCAATAGCTCAAACACATCAAACGAATGGAAACAACTGTCATTTAATTCAGTGGTTGCCGTTTGTTGCTGTATATCATATTTGGGTTTTTCGTTCATTTTTTTGTACATAAATCAGGCCGTTAGTTTTCTCGTTTGAATTCGTTTTACATTTGTCATTTCGTGGCCTTTGATAGCTGACTATGCGGTATGGGTTTTGCTCATTGCTGAAGGCCGTATGATGACCTATAGTTGTAAACGTGATTTGGTATCTGGTGTAGAGTTGTCTTATTGGCAATCATAGCACATCTTCTTATTTTTGTATTAATCACAACAAATGAAATAGTTAAAACTGGCTCTGAACTAGCCGTACTCCAAGATAGGTATCTTGTTTTTTATGTGTGCTTCGTGTCGATCTGATATGTCAAAATCTTTCCAACTAATTTTTACAGTTTGTTCTAATATTGCACTGTTACTGGATGGTCTTGTGTGGACGAGACGCACGTCTAGGTATTGAATTTTAAGCATAGTACCTTTTGTTAGCTATTACTCGTGTGTTTCTTTGTCTTTGTTCTTTCTCCCATTTATTTGTATTGTGGTCCTGTCATGTGATGTTGTCGTTTTGGTGTTGTGTTTGACGTTGCCATTAAAGCGGGAGGTTTGGCATGCCACAAAACCAGGTTCAACCCACCATTTTTTTCTTAAAATGTCCTGTACCAAGTCAGGAAAATGGCGATTGTTATATTATAGTTCATTTCTGTGTGTGTTACATTTTTAATGTTGTGTTTTTGTTGTGTCGTTGTTCTCCTCTTATATTTGATGCGTTTCCCTCAGTTTTAGTTTGTAACCCGGATTTGTTTTTATCTCTATCGATTTATGAGTTTCGAACAGCGGTATACTACTGTTGCCTTTATTTACGTCACTGTCTTAGGGATGAGGAGGGGTGAGCGTTCACAAGTATGTTTAACCCCGCAACATTCTCTATGTATCTGTCATACAAAAGACACAAGCAATAAAAGCGCTGTTCCTTTGCTTTTTGTGTGTGTTTTTTTGTTGATGTTGCTGTGCATGTATTGATTTTGTGTTTTGGATGGATACGCCATATCCTTTGTTTTTCTATTATGTAATTCAGTGTGGTCGTTAGCTGCTTTCTATTGTATTTATGTTTCGTTTATTATTTTAGAATTAATCAGGCCGTTGATTTTATCTATTGAATTGGTTCACATTTTGTAATGGCGGTATGTGAGAGTCAGGAGTTTGACATTTGTTTTCCATTCGTGCCGTTGATTGATTTAGTAAAGCATTTGATTTTGCCAGGTTTTATGGACTTCCCCTTTTTGAATGTGCCTTGGATTTCGGTATTTTTGTTAATCATTTTTTATCATTGACTAAACGGTACGGAGTTTGCTTATTGTTGATGGCCGTATTGGGACATAGTTGTTATCGTCCTCAAATTAAATTTCATTGAATAATTTAATAGATCTTCAAGATAGGTCTTTAGGTTCTTTATTTAATTGTTGTTTTATTTAATATTTACGATGAAATGTTGCTCAACCAAGAAGTTTAAATCAAATAACAAATTATGAAGTCACCTTTTAGCTTTCTTAGATATGTGATTAATGTAAGAGATAATTTAAGTTATCATTCGGACCATGACATTAATAACCACATATAACATTCGCAAACGGTAATTTAATATGTAAATAGCATAAGTGCATCGCTTAAAATAAATAGCGATATATCAATCACCACATATTTAATCGGAGGTTTATCAAATTTCCTTAATGTACATATGTAATATTGTTTGGTGGACGTAGTTGTTTATTCATATTCACAGAAGCATATGGCACGTGGTCTTGAATCAAAGTTAAATTTAAAACTTGAAAATCATTGCACATCAATTAATTCATAGACAGAAATTTCACTTACTTTTCCCCCTCAAGGGGTAAATGATTTTCTTTTCACGGTTATTTTACTGGAATTTTCAGGGAACATTTTTGCCTGACTTTTCCATGGTAATTTCATGTCATTTCAAAACAACACAAACTTCACCACAAACCATAAAATCACAATGAATACCTCTGTGATAGTAAGCCTTTTTTTCAAGCGGTATAAAATCCTACTAGTGTATTGAACGATGTTTTTGTCTGTCGTTGGAAGAACACGGAATGATGTCGAATTAATATGACAAATTCAATATAAAAGTTAATTGCTTGTGAAAAGAGCTTAGTTTTGCAACGTCTTCTAGAATAAATACAAAACACCCTTCTTTTTCAGAGCAAATCACAAGTTCTTTAGTAGACGACTTATCTGATATCGGTGTAGGTGTTTCCATGGTTAATACAGATAGGATAAATGATAAAGAGCTTATCAACTACATTATCCAGTCTTTTAAAGAAACCTCGAATATGCTAGTTATTTGCTATGAAGTGTGCATACAGAGTGTTTTACAGTTGGTAAGTTAATGACAGAATTCATGCAAACTTTGCACAATTGCAAGGAAAGTTATCTTAATACAAAATTCACCATAATCGTACTAAACTTTCGCGCACTTTTCTAGATTTTCACTGAGAGGAATTTGGATGCCGGATTTTCAGTTTAGTTAAGGTATCGGAGTGTATTCCAAATATTTCCAATTTGTCTCACACGTAATATGGTATAATATTTTTTGATTTACAAAGAATAGATGTAAACACTTCTATCTTTTGACATTTCTCATTTCGCATCTGGTGCAGAAAAATTGGTACCGTTTATGTTATTAAAGTAGTTATTATTTATTCATATTACTGATTAGTAGATGTCTGCAGGTTGATATTTATAATAACTTTTAAACAATAACCAGTCTCTGCTCTCATGTATCATACCACATAACTAATATAGATTCCATGAACAATAAATGGAAGTGTTCAACTTAGGAGGAACCCATATACTTGCCATTATGAATACTACAATATTACACACATAACTTTTTAATAACTATTAACTATTTTTAATCTTATTAGCATACTAATACTAAAACACAATTGTATAAACACTAAACTAATATCATATTCACAAACAATATTAAAACCCTTGTACATAATACATGAAATAACATTAAATGTATCATTTGGCTCTCTAGGGGACTACTAATTAAAACATACTAGAATAATTAAAATTACACAACTCAAAAACACTACCTTCTCTACTTAAAAGTTCTTAAAACCTGTTTTATAACCCAGACAGTAAATAAAAATGCGATAACATTTGGTAGAACCCAGAGAGTTGAGAATTTAAAACATACATGTTTAAGAACCTGTGATAGATCCGAGAAAGGTGTTTTAAATGAGAATTCCTGCGGTAGATCTCAGCAGATACAAATATCTAACTTAATTATCACTCTTAAATCAAACGAAGCCTTAATTTTATACAAGATGTATTATTGAATTGGGGGAAACAATTTCCCTGAAATTAAGTTGGCCAAATTGAATGAGTAGCATGAGTGAAAGTCCCATGAATTGATACATATTTTGTTGAATGTTTCAAAAATTCAATAGACCATCATTATTGATGAATCTACTTGAATATAATTAGAATTATGAAACAGCAATAATAAAACAAAAAATACAAAGTTTAGTTCTTAAAACATTTGACTCCTTTGATTCAGAACAAACATGTATTAACAATTAGGAAAACACATATTATTTTGTGCATTGCAAACAGTTTTTGTGTCCGATCTGATGTAACGTCTATAGCAATCGAATTACCATCTACCTAATGTTAATTTATCTCTAGACAAAGAGTGTAATCATACTCTTCACTAACAAATAAATTGGAGTCTGGTCCATGATCTTTTTGAACTTGATTATATCTTCTCATCGCATCAAGTGGATGGAACATATCTTTTTCAAAAATAATAATGGGAATACATTCTCGAAATAGGTCACATTTGGAGTAATTCAGATGTAATATGAAATTAAAAAAAATTATCTAAGTTTATATCTTGGATTAAAGGTTTGTCCGGCCAAGCAATTTGTACTGCTTGAGGAGGTTCAAAGATCGGAGAAAACAGAAAAAGCTTGATTAAATGCACGCTGCAACATTGCGTCAATAAATGGAGAAAAAAACTTCATAACTTGATAACTTGAATTATAAATCATTCAGAATATGAGATTTATTAGGTAATCTCTTAATCTAACATTATTTTTAAAACTTTTTTATTATACATATACACTTTTAGCGTGCACAAATGGTAGTTATGTCTAATTCCTGCTAAGTGTAATTTGATTCTAGCATATGCTTTCATTAGACAATTCTTACAATATGTTACAAAATAGGTTAAGCAATCTTTGTCTGTTATTGGCATGCTATTTATATGATACATAGCTATACAATTTAAAAACAGTGAAAGCCAGAATATAAGCCTTTCTAGTACTTATGCTTAATGGAGCCATCCACAGTACCTCATCTTACTTATTTAGGCTAGGTGTAAGTTCCTTTCCGCTTGCTCATTAAAATCATTATGCTAGAAATTGTTGATCAAAATTAGGTAATTATTTCCACAACCTTAAGTTATCACATATAAACAAAGTTCACCTTTTCTGCCCTGTTTTACCCCCAAATTACACAGGCAGTAACGATAGTGTACCGTAAAAGAAATGCTATACACATTTTTTGTATTCAATATTTCCCTGTGAAAATCACCTGGCATTTAAAATAATTCATGTTCTTACACGGAAATGTCTTGATTATACAAATGAGATTTATCTTCTTAGTTATAACATATTATTTCATCATGCTGTATTCATTGTAATAGTGCTCTGAAATATGGGCCATTGCCAATTATTGTAATTGTGTTTATGTCAATAAGATATTTGTATTTGGTTTATTATTAAATTCCCATTATCCCTACGTACCCTTCCTTGGATCTCTATATATTTCACAGACAAAAAGTGCGATTATTATCTTTGTGAGAAGTCTTGGTAACCTTTTTGTCTGAGGTAATTTTTCTAATCGCCATCTTGTATTCAATTAAACAATTACACACTTTTAAGCCAAAAACAAAAATGTTAATTGCATAGTTATCTAAACCAATTTGGGTGTGTTTTTCCGCGAAACATTTTGTGCGAACATAAATTTTGTTACAATTTCTATTTAATGTTTTTAAAAAGGAGGCCAAAGGATAACCATTGGCGATACCCGGGGTTAAAGTCTGTGTTCGCGCCAGCAACCGTCTTGAGAAAATATGAACATACGAGTTCATATATTGGTGTAGAGATGCATCTTTGAAAGACCGCAAATGCGTCATCATATAAGGGTCACATGTTTTATATTTTGGCTTTGTGTGTTCTTCATGCATTGTTTTCAGAAAAACCTGGCATGGGATATTAATGTTTTTAACATTTAGTGACCTACACTATGACTTTTTGTATGAATGCATTTTATGGAAAATAACCGCGTCCAATAAAACGAGGTTCATTGTGACATTTATTTTATTCTTTATTGGCTTTAATAGCATTTCGTTCGAGTTCTGAACTTGGATACTACGTGACCTAAAGTATTTTTGGTAGGCGAAAAGATGTATTTATGGGTACATGAACTGGTTATCAGCTCCCTCTGAAGAACAGTTTAATCTTCAATAGATTATTTGATTTTTCAAATTTGAGAATAACTTATTAATGAGCCTATTGCATTAATCCTGAAATAGATTAAACAAATTATGGGTGGGAAAATAAATTCTCTACAAACGCTATATGCAGAATTGAAATTTTCGTTTCTTTGCATTTTTAAATTTGTTGTTGGCAAAACAAAAAAATGTTTTATTTATCAAAATTGTCAGTGTATTTCCTTAGAACTCGGTTAACAAAACGGATATGGTATAAACAACTCCGACATTATAGAAATCACCAAACACACTTTCGAAAAAACACGAATGAAAGGATCAATGCTTTTATTACTTTTAAAATGAACAAATATTAATTCTAATACTGTGATTTGTTACACTAGAAAGAATCTGATGCCAAAAACATCAGACTGTTTACTTTGATAATAAGATCGAATTTGAAATTTAATCAAATATGTTGAAAAACAATGAGATAGCAAACACCACAATCCTTTCGATAAATCAATTTCAAGTTCTATTCTTTGAAATAAAAATAATATTATATAATCATCGATTAACTAATACATAACTATTGAAATATTTACTGTCATAATAAAAAGAACTTATCTTGTCCATTAAAATGTAAAATAAACAAAGACTTGTCAACAGTTTTGTTAAGTATACTCTACACAAGTTACCAGATAACACCAAATGAAATATACACCGAAGCTTCCAAAATTAAGATTAATAGCTGTAAGTCATCAATATAAATTCGTTCAAGGTTTATAGAGGTTTTTAATTTGTGAACTATCAATATAGGAGGCACATATCATAGAACCCCCATAAGATAAATTGAGGCTTAAGTTGTAAACAAAATTTTAAATCTCATAAATTGATTAAGAAGACACAAATCAAGACAGTATACACAAACTGAGGAAATCACATGAACTCCAAAAAGAAGAGAGAGTACGTGCATCGACAAATATAACACCATTATTCTTAAGCCTTGAACTGTAATGTAACTTATAGAAAGACTATTAATCATACTGTTTACCGCAGAAGAATTAACACGTTAAACATTAAACATATATGCTGCATATTTAAGGAAAAGTCAATTTTAACATACACTATATCCAAGCAAAAACTGAAGACTCTATTGCCTATCAACAAACGTGTGTACCTATATTCCCGAAGACCGTAAATTCAAGTATATATACTTTTGATGAGTTATTAACTTCCCTAGAAACATAACTGATCAAGATTGTTAATAAAACAATTTTGTCTGTACCAAATTTTTCACTATGACACCTCTTTTCCTCGATTGTGACATCACCAAATGCCGCCTTTTTCCTCGCTTGTGACATCACCAAATGCCACTTATTACCGAGCCTTTTCTTGTCATGAGCATAGGCCAGATGTTTCAATTAGAAAATGAACCGATTTCTCCGGCGAAGCACCTGAAGGAGTCCAACTCCGTTTTTTCTGTGGAATTCTTACATGCTCAATCTAGTATTTTTTAAATGTTCATCAGTCATGTTTCCTCCATAGTGTTGTCTGTTTTTCGACTTATATTTTTGTCCCACTTTGGAATTTTCTATCCATTCTTATTCGATAAGTCATTCATAAATTGTATTTTTATTTCAATAATTATCTTGAGAACATACTGTATCAACTACTCGATAAGACAGTCAGGTGGTAGTTTTATAAAATGAAGGGATTGCCACTGAAAGGTTACTTGACATTAGATCAACATCACGGCAATAACTACCTTGTTCCTTATCTTTTTTTTGCGTGATGAATGTTTACTTAACAAATCTCTTACAGGGATAAAAAAAAAGTGAACATATTAAAAGGTAACAATAGTCTAAAGATGTT